ACTTGGGACTACAGAGAATGAGCTATGGTCCATGTCATGATATCTAAAACAAAGAAAAGAATAGGAAGGATGTGCTGCAGGCTAAACCCCAGCTGCTGGCGTGACTCATCAGTCCAGCACATCTATAGTGTGAGTCTCTGAATCTATAGTGTCAGTCTCTCACTTAAGGACTGAGAGACGGGCAGAGCACTGGATCCTATCCTGCCCTCAGCAAGCTGAAGTCTGCTCTCATTATATCCAACATATATAATATGCTATTTGCCTTCCTCTTTTCTCTCAGGAGCTTAATGTCCACCACATCATGATCCTTGCAGACAAGATTGTCAATGACTGTCACATCCACGATCAGTTCATCTTAGATAAGTTGCAGATCCACCTGAGTCTCCTGTAGTTTTCTCATCCAGCATGTGTATCAAAATATTGTTTCTAGTGATCTCTTTTAGGCAAGGTTGGTTTTAATCATGTTTCTGCAGTAACTCTACTCCTTGTAGAGATGAAAGATGGAAAACAACCCTAGTGTCTCTGGCCAGCTTTCTTTTCTCTCTCGCTTCTTCTTTTCCTTTCTTTTCTTCTCTTTTCTGTTTCAGACCCTGGAAAGGCCATTCGACACTAGTTTTCTGGCCTCTAAAAGATAACAGACTTTGGTAACATCATAAATAGTACCAGCTTTGCTTGGATTTTTTTTTAATTATTTGTTTACATTTTGCAAGCCTCAGAGAAGGACTTACCCTAAATATAGACAAAGAAAGAAATCCCCTGGGTGGGAGAGTTCCTTTGTCTGTGGTAACATCACTGTCCTTGTGGGCTGTTTGGATTGTTCTGCTGACATATACTCCAGTTAAAAAACTGTAGCCAAACCCCAAAACCTCAAAACCAAGATTTCCTCATTTTGTTACAGAGGTACATAATCTGAGGGAGCACCAGAGAGCACGCTGCTTCTCTACTGCCTGCTGCACAGGCTCAGGAGGTCTTCAGAGTGGAAACATGGGGCTTTGTCTGGGTTACCCAAGTAGTCACACAGTTGGGAGTTCAACTGGAGAAAGAGAACCCAGCAATGGATGGTGTTTGTGTGTATCCACTCATTGGAAGATGCATAATTGGGAAGACTCAAAGGTTAGAGGTTGACAGCACTTCATGGGACCAGATTTAGAAACAATAAAAAACACACAGTTGCCCAGAGCAGTCAACATCCCACTGCATCCACGCTAAACAGTGCGAGGAAAGGGTGTCTCAGATGCAGGCACTGCCCAGCAATCCAATGACAGCCATTGGTGAGCATAGCCTTGTGGTCCAACTGCTTCTGCCAAGAAAGCACCATAGGAGTGTGGAGCTACATCCCCCTCACAAAAACAGTTGCCCTTAAACACCATCTCTAAAGTCATGCACGATCAGCAAATGTAACTTTGGTACAACTGTTCCTTCCTCCTCCCCAGCCCAACCTCTGGTCTGCATGGCTCACCTCAGCTCCCTCCCTTCTCTGCTCCTGCAGTGTGAGGTGCCAAAGGGTGCACAGAGCTCCTGGTTTGGATGTGTCTGCTGCAGGAGTGAATAAGAGACTGCCAAATGCTTTGGGAACTCATATGTTGGGGGAGGGAGACCAAGAAAGGTGAAAGGCTTGGGGAAAGGAGAAGGGCAGATGCACAGAAACTCTGCCCTCCTTAATTTTCCTGGAACCCTATTTGATTCTCTGTGACATTTCCTATGCTTCTGATTTTATCACCCTATGCACTTCCCCCCCTTCTCTTCCCCATGAAATGCAGACTGTTACCACCACAAAGCTGAGTATTTTTCTTTCAAAGATGAGGACACAATAAAGTGTGTGTTTTTTTCATTTTTTTGTGATCAGAAGTCCTTTCTTCCACCTTTACAACACAGTAAATGTTAAAAAATACCTACATGGATAAAGATTGAAGTTATCTAATCTTGAAGTGCAGTGAAACTTCTGACAATGGACTTTTTCCTCTGAATAACTCTCATGGTCCTAGACCTGAAGTCTAAACTTTCAGTTACTTTGTCTGTTGACACCTTTAATGTGATAGGAATAATGACAATGATTTTTATCAAAAAGCTTCTTCTATGACTAAATCTACCTTTTGGTAGATTCTATTCTTATTTGTTCCCCATTGCCACTGTTAGCTTTTTAACTACACTTCAGAAAAAGTTTGTTACATTTTTATTCTCTCCTGGCATATGAAGAAAGTGAACTCCCATGAATTGGTCCTTATAAAGCCACTATTGCTTTAAACTTTTCCCTCTGAAACCACAAATGACCAGATCAGGCTCTGCTGATTCTTTTGCAAGTACTGTTTCTAGGGATAACTGGAGCTTGTTTAGATTCTGGATGCCTAGGGGAGTTGTTCTTCTTAATCAATATTAAGTTACTGACAGAGATAGTCGAATGCATGAACACAACCATGGGATGCCAACTTTTCAGTTCAGGCCTTGTTTTATGCTTCTAGTACTGCATGTGAGTAGAACTTTAGCTGGTTCAATTTTTGTTTTTGTAGAAAATGCTTTTGGAGTCAAAAGTTGCTAATTTGATGTATAGACTTGTGATGCTACATCTGTTCTCTTTATACTGTATGAGTTGTGGAGAAGTTGACAGAGCACTGGAACAGGCTGCCCAGAGAGGTTGTGGAGTCTCCTTCTCTGGAGACATTCAAAACCCGCCTGGACGCCTTCCTGTGCAACCTCATCTAGGTGTTCCTGCTCCAGCAGGGGGATTGGACTAGATGATCTTTTGAGGTCCCTTCCAATCCCTAACATTCTGTGATTCTGTGATTCTGTGAAGAAAGCAGGTCAGATATCCACTCTTGGGTGTAGACTGGTCTCAGTGACACCTCATTATCAGTCATGTTTGCAAGCAACATAGAAGAATGAACCTGGAAAATGATGGTCACGTATATCTCATCAGTCATCAATCTCACACTCTAGAAGGAATCAAGGAAGCAGAACTTCTCATGGGCCTAGGCATTTCTGTGTCTCTAGAAAGTAAGCCCTCTTTGTTCCCAAAGACAGTCAGTTCTCCACTATCTTTGGCTTTCTCTTTTGGAAACAATACTATCTTAATTATATATGAATAGCTGATAAATGAACTACTGGTGATATAGTCATGTCACTCCACATATCAATGAAGAAGCAGTAGGATAGGAATGACCTTGGGATTCTGATAAGCACTCTGGAACGGTGCTGGGAAGCAGATTACTTTTTCCAAATATAGTAGGCAAGAAATGGCAGTGGCAGAAAAGCACAGGTACAGTTATCTCTCCTACAAGTTTTTAACTCTAACAGAATGGATCTGCCTGCTTTTAAGAGGTAAATATTGACTTATCCTGTTCTTTGAAAAATGTCCTATTTTCTAGTGATGCTTCAATATCAACACATGAAGAAATGAAATTACTATACATGCAATATAAATCTCAATTTTAAGTAAATTACATTGTATTATGTGAATCAAAGGCTTTCAGGGTATAATGGAGTTTTTGACATTTTATGCTGTTTATAATAACCCTCTCCTTTAGAAAATGCAGATCTGTGGCCTGAGAAAGAAACAAATGCTCAGTAGCAGGCCCTGGAGTGGCCTTTTGTAGTTAGATGCTTACTACTTGCAATTTTTTATCTGGTTTTTTTTGCAGTGGTTTTTGGCTTCTTTTGTTTTGACACTGAGAAAAATGGACTGAGAACAAGCCCAGATCACAGCTTTTGATAGTGGTATATGTTATTTGAAGACTTCATATCCAAGATTTAAAATCCTTTCTTTTTTTTTTTTCCACAGGCTTAAGAAACTTTTACAATTTGCATTGTCATCTCCCTGAGAAGACCCCCATCGACCACCACTGCCCCTGGTGCTCCCACACCCTGCCTACAGCCCAGAAACCCTTCTCAAGGGTAGTCAGCCCATGCCCCAGCAATGCTGCAGAAGGGCTGGTCTCCAACTCCCCCACAGCTCTGTCCTGCCTGGCCATGAGCACCACCAAGCCAGGCCCACCTATGCATTCATGTCTCAGCATGGCCTTGACCTGTCCCTGTCCCCAGGGAGGTGCCCAACGCCTCGGTCTGGGGGCTGCCACTGTGCTCCCAGTGCCCTGCTCCTGGCTGTGGGGTGGGATGTGCCCTGCCTTGTCCCATCACAGAAAGCCTCAACTGTTCCCAGACTCCAGAGATGTTTTTTATTGAGCAATGCTTTGTACTACTCAGTATTATTTAAAGCTAGAGAGAAATATCTGTAAAAGAAAAGATTTTTATGCACTTGCCAGATTTCCAAGCACTAGAAGACTCTGAACAACAGAAAGGAAAATGTAACCAGCTAACAGCTTGTTCCTATTGCATGAAATCATGAGTTATGCAATTACATGAATTTGGTAAGAATCAGGAGGGAAGTACTGAACATTGTATCTTGCAACATTTCCGATGATATGAAAGTTCCCCAAAACACAAGCAGACAGGGAGACAGCCCTATTTATAGCTGTACAACCATTTAAAACACAAGTCTTTCCATCTTCTCTGAGCCTGAAGACTATGATAGAAAGATAAACAAGATAAAGACGTTTTTAAGTAGAAGGTAGGTCCATCTTTGTCCTTCGACTATTTTATTTGTTGAGGTATGCATTGAGACTCTAGGAAGTCCAAGGCTGGAGAGGTGATGTTCCAGGCAAAATCTAAAAAGCTATTAGAGGAATACATGGAGCTAAGTTGAATGCTCTCACAGCTACCTGAAAGGAGGCGGTTGTCAGTCTCTTCTTTTAAGTAACAAGTGATAAAACAAGAGGAAATGGCCTTAAGTTGCACCAGGGAAGGTTAAGATTAGATATTAGGAAAAATTTTTCACCGAAAGGGTTATCAAGCATTGGAACAGGCTGCCCAGGGAAGTGCTGGAGTCACCATCCCCGGAGGTATTTAAAAGACATGTAGATGTGGCACTTAGGGACATGGTTTAGTGGCAGACTAGGCAGTGCTAGGTTTACAGTTGGACACTGTTCTCTGTCTCCAAGGACGAAGATATGGTTGCTCCTCTTGCACTCATCTTCCTAACTCAGTGGATGTTGCTCATCCCCCAGTTGTGTGTTGGCTGGAACTGCACAGACCGTGAGTAGAACACTTCCATGGGGTAGTCCTCCGAGGTGGAGTATAACATGCTTTTCAAAATGGGTAACTTTTCTTAACTTGCCCTCTGTCTTAGATATGCTAGGTAGTAACCTCTGCACCCAAAAATCTGGGTATCAGTCTTGCACCTTACTGATCCTGTTATGTGACACTTGCAGCGGAGATACCAGACTCACCTATTAGAAATTTAAAGCTGAATCGGTGGAAAATGGAGCTGAGTTGGATGAGCAGCATGAATTTCACTAAGAACTGGTGTTCAGTGACTGCAGGAGGTTTTACCGAGACTATAATGGTAAATTTATTATGTAAAGTTTTAACAGAGATAAATCAGTTCACTTTCTTCTTTTTCTTTCATATCCCTAAGTAGCTGAAAAATGTATCCTTGGTAGGAACAAGATAGTCTGTGTTTTAGCAGTCCTTTCTGGTTTTTGTTGAGACCTATCTTGGTACTGAGGCATATCTACCCTCTGGTTGTTCTTGTGAAATTCTTGCAACTACATCAGCCAATTCCCTCGGGACCTTAGGATGCAACTCATTTGGTCCCATGGACTTGTGTATGCTCAGGTTCTTCAGGTGGTCTGAAATCTGATTCCCTCTTATAATGGGAGGGGTTTCATTCCTGCAGTTCCTGCCTTGAGATACGTGGGAAGAGTGGTTGCCAGTGAACAATGAGGTAAAAACTTACTGGGCACCTCAGCCTTCTCCACGTAAGTTGTCACTAGTTCTCCAGTCTTATTTATCATGAACTGTACACTTTAATCTTTCTTTTCTTACCAACATACCTGTAGAAGATCTTATTATATTTTTTCCCGTTCCTTGCCAAATTAAGCTCCAATTTGGATCCAAACTTTTGATAGTAGGAGATCTAGACTTCAAATCTTGTGTAAGTGAATTACTTGAGAAGTGCCTTGACTTTATGAAAAGGCAACTTCTGCTTCTGATTTAGTCTGTTCTCAGTGCTTATGCAGAGGAGACAACAATCTAAGCATTTCGTATTTTGCAGCTACTATGTTTGTTAAGCAAAATAGTTTTCTTTTTCACTGGCCTCTGCAAGCTGCACAGATATTTCAAAGCAAGTCATGAAGTTGTCCTCTTGGGATTATTCTTTACCTCATACATGTATTACTCCTGCTTTTGCTAAGTTCTCTTCCTCTAGATCTCAAAGCTGTCTCCATCCCTTTGGTCAATATTTCTTGTGCATCTGATTGGGTGGGTAATGTTCAAAATGATGTTGCTTTAGCAACAGGAACTCTAAGAAGAGGGTATGTATTTTGACACTCTATTTTGCATTAATAGAGAGGGACACTCCTGTGTCAAGAAAGATGTATACCACATTTATGGTAAGCAATAATGTTTCTATAGACAGTTGCTAGAAAATTCTGAATTTGGAGACTCCTTTGATACTCCATGCAGTTATATCACCTGTATGAGTAATGACAGATTCAAGTAGATTCATGTCACCTTCATTTCAACTACTTAAACTTGGCTGTTATAGTACTTTAAGCTCTGACAGGAGCTACTAGAGAGGTGCAGCTCCTGTCTGAAGGCAATGTATCCCATGCATCTTATATGACACTGTCTGTGTCTTCCTTCACCACTGCATAGACAAGGAACCTATATTACTTGCTCAAACTAGATACTAGTTTTTAGAAAGCTTATGTTAGTGCAGATGAACATCAAGTCAGCTCCTTGCCCAAGCAGTCATTTGTGAGGTATTTCCCTTTGTCTTTCAAAGAAGTGTAAAGCACATTACAGCCATCTGTTGATGTTCACAAAAGCACATATGCTCTACTTTGAGGTGGTTCAACTGATTTGGTGGACTATGGGTAGGAGAGGAGGAACTGCTATTCCTAATGTTGCCATGAGATTTTCTGGAGGGAAGCAGTGAAGTCTTCACCTTGCACTGGTAAAGGTCCATTACTCAAAACCTCTGTGGAAAGAATTCTCAAGCCTGTACCTACTTCACTATTGTAGTGGTCCCACTGTTACAAATCAAGCACATGCTTAAGCCCTTTCTACAGGGAGTAGCACTGTGTAAACAGAAGGATGAAAACCTGACAAGTAAATGTTATGCATGACATTTTTCAGGCACAGAATATGAAGTGCATGTTTGGAAATGTAGCACCTCCTCTGCACAATGGCGTAAGCTTTTCTGTCACGGCAGTGAACATGAATGACACCTACTCAAACATATGCAGATATATTCCTCAAGGTAATACACTAGACTTTGGGAAAGGATTTGCCTACTTTCAATGATCTAGGGGAGAAATAAAAACTGAAACCCTTCATTCCTTAATTAATATGTTTCCTGTAGGATGAACAGTTTCTTGTTCATAGCCTTATTGCAATATATCTTTGAAAAGAAAAGGAGTTTCCTACAACTAGCTCAGCAATTTTTAATCCTCAGTTGCCACCTTACTTGCTGCCATCTTTTAAATTGTCAGTTCTATTTTAATTGTTTGTACTAATATTGTATGGACTGCACTTGAATGTCTTTAAAATGTCATTAAAAATCCAAGTTAACAGGTTTGTGGCTGTAGTTTTTAAATTCTTCCTTGAGAATTCTGTGACACCTTGAATTTTGTCACAGTGTAACTCATGGTGTACTGCCCAACACTTTGCAGTGTCTCATCCACAATAGTGAAAGGTCTGAGAGAATTTAGTCTTCTTTATATGAGAGGGGTAATATATATGAAACGTTTAAGAGAATGAGGTACAAGATCTGTTCATTTAAGCGGCATTGGGTTTGCATATCCATCAAGCTCAAAGTATTTGCTGATTCCTTATAAAAGGATAGATAAGTCATCCTTCCTTTGAAAAGGTGTGTTTAGTCTCCTTATTGGGCTTTACTTGGGGTGGGGGTTAATGAGTAAACTGGTATGGTCCTGATAAGGAGAAGATTCCTCATGTTAATCACAGGTGGAAGAAGGTATCTCTGCAGAGTACAAACACCTCACAAGTTTACATCTACACCTCCCTGAAGAATTAAAAAACTTCACAGTTTTGCACTTAGGTTTCTCTCCCTCTCTGAGGTCTATAGGAAAGCTTCTGACATTCTCCACTCATTTGACAGGGCGCTGAAGAACATCCATCAGATAGATATGCTATATAGCAGGCTACTGAAGGATGACAAGCAAATGTTTCAGTCTGTGGCATTGTGGCACCTGTGTGTCCTTCTGAACAGGAACAATTCAAAGCAAAGAGGTAGTCACTTTAAGTGTCAGCTTGTACTAGAACAGTGTATGTTCCTCTGAGAGTTATTCTATCAGATGCAGCTATAACCATATCTTTTGGGGGTTTATTCATGACAAATCCTTATTTGAATATGTCAGTGCAAATATCTTCCAGTGTTATCACCTAAAATAAAGCAAGTAATTCCTCACCCAAGGGATAACCAGCTGGATTTGCGTAAGTCTAACATATCTAAGTGTGTGCCATGATCCTCCAGCTTGGAGCAGTCACACAATTTTTTCCTCATCACAGATATTCCTGTGTTTGCAGGTGTGAACGGGTCAGCCATTGAGAACTTCTCTTGTGTGGTTTATAACATTTCTCTCATGAACTGCACTTGGCAGGCAGGCAGGGATGCTCCAGGAGATACCCAGTATTTTCTCTACTGGCAGAACTCGAGGTAAGTAGGTTTGCTTGAGCCTAGGGAGGTCTGGATTTTCATTTGACACATCATACTACTCATGTTTACCTAAAATACCTTGCTCTATATATAGAGACAACAAGGAAGTGGAATGTGAGCTTTACATGAAAGATGAAAATGGCAGAAACATGGGATGTAGATTCCAAAATGTGAGGATGGATACTGAAAAAGCTTACTTTCTGGTGAATGGGTCTAGCAGAGCCTCTCTGATCAAGTTCTATGATGAATACATTCAACTGTATAAAATTGGTAAGTAAATAATTTATTTCTGCTTTATTTTCATTATTGCATTAGGGTAGCAGAGCATTTATCCCTGAGAAGGAACCAAGTATCCTGTCTCACCTACAGTCAAAAGCAAGACACAACATTTTATTCAGGAAAACCTATCCCCCAAGCAAAAGAGGTAATTAAGCAAGAAAGCTGCACAGCTTCAGTCTACCTCAGATACTTTAGCAATCTACACTTACTGGTTTTAGGATTTTTCTCCAAAAAGGTCCACAGGACTTAAGAGATTGTACTTCCCCCTGCTGTCCTTTCAATGACCTTTCAACAGAGGAAACTTTTCAGAAGTTTATCTGAGCACTGATTTCTGCTTCTCATTGCCAGTGGGGATGGCATACACTGACACCATAACCTTGATTAAAGTAGTTAATACGTGTATGAAATATCCCAGATTTTCATATGCTCTTTCACCTTTGGTACTCTACCTGAAAGATTCCTGGGCAATTACTTTTACTACAGCAAAGCCTTTTTCGCAAAGTCCCACTGGTTTTGGTATTACCTCAAAAAAAATGAACAAAAAAGGCTTCATTATCTAAGAAGGAATTCTGTTGTTATATCACTCATGACAGATGAAACGAGACTGTTCTTTGACCAAAGAGCCCATCATAAATGGGCCAGGGTTGTCTCTAGAGACTGATGTAAAGTACTAGTCTAGCTGAAACTAAGGTTTTCTCTGTCAGCTTTTTATCACCCTTTCACCACCCTTTCTGTCATGAGTGACTGTCTTTTGCTGTTGCAATAATGAAGTCCTTGGTGATGATAAAAATATAAAGGTCTTCATATTTTCGTTCATGTCTGTGAAATTAGGAGAGATATGTGAAGAAGTTTACTAGATTCTTAAAACTGAAGTGTTTTCCTTAAATTTGTGTGGCTAATTGTTTGGAAGGGGGGGATAAACTGCATAGTTTGCAATAACAAGTAAACCACACCTTCATGTCACAGAAGAATTATGTGAGGAGGCTTGAAGAAAGAAATGACCTTCGGATTTCTTACATTAGGGTTAGCATCAGCTTGTTCTTCTGCAGTAAATAACATCCTTACAAAATGATAGCACTCTATCTTATTAGTCTAGAAAAGTAAATGGAGGAAGTTTGTATCTTCATATGCTCTTAAGTCCTGTTCCCTGCCTTAGTCCTTGTTTTTTCTAATCCTAGGGACAGGATTTAAAGAACTTTGGTCTTTCAGTTATTTCTATCAGAGATTCTAAGAAAAATAGATACAAATGAGTATCTTTCTTCATAGAAGTGTTACTTAAAGAATCATAGAATCATAGAATGTATTGTGTTGGAAGGGACCTTTGAAGATCATCCAGTCCAACTCACCCTGTAGTAAGCAGGGACAATGTTACTAGATCAGGTTGCTCAGAGCCCCATCAAGCCTGACCTTGAATATCTCCAGGGATGGAGCCTCCACCATCTCTCTGAGCAACCTGTTCCAGTGATCTGTCACCCTCATATTGAAGAACTTCTTCCTAAATAGCCAACCTAAATCTACTCTTTTCTTGTTTAAAACCAGTACCCCTTGTCCTGTCGCTACCTGCCCTAGCAAACAGCTCTTCCCCAGATTTCTTACAGGCACCTTTCAGGTATTGGAAGGTCACTAATAAGTCCCCCCAGAGCCTTCTCTTCTCCAGACTGAACAGCCCCAACTCTCAACTTGCAACTGCACTCTTTTTAATCAAAATAATAAAAAATCAAGTTACTTTAGTTATTTGAATTCTTGGTTATATCATTTCAGAAAAGCTCTTGCCTCCATCAAATATCACTGTCAACTGTGATGAAATGAAAAATTATTGCATAATTCAATGGCAACAACCCCAAATAAGTCATTCTAACAAAGACAAGTGTTTTAAATATGAAATCAACATCAAGTATAAGGTAAGAGAAATTTCTTCACTTACATTTAACATTAATACATACATTTGCATTTAACAGTACACATGGACAAAAAGTAAATCAGTCTCTCTTGCATGGTGTGGCCTTCCTCATACATAGCACCATATTCCTTTATGGTTGTGCTTTTCAAGCACCCTATTATGTCATACTGCCTCATTTTTTTACCCCTGTTCCTCTGTGTGAAATATTGCTGGAAATACACTGGATGACCATGACTGTGTAGGAAGAAGCATAGTTCATCAAAATTTGACCATATCACAGCTTTGGCTGTGGAAAAAAAAATCAAAAAAGGCACTTCTTTCATTAAGACCTGTTGGAGCATTCCCAGATTGGAGTCCTTCCAGTGGTGAAGAGAGTCCTTCCATCTCAGTGAAAGGGCAGGGCTGGGCTGTAAACACTGAATAAAGACATTGTCATCCAGTTAACAAGTATGAGTTGATGGAGGTGAATGAAATTTCTCTATATATGAAATAAAAATAGCTGAACCAGATATCATATATATAAGCAATAGACCCATTGGTCTGAAGTTGAAGCTGTATAATGTTGAATAAAAGGAAAATAAATGTAAAAGAACACAGAAAGGCAGTGTGAATAAGCACAGGTTACTCATTTAAGCTTCTGAAAACCAAATTCAGACCTTGGTTTTACAAGATTTTTTTTTCAGCAATGGAGTGAGAGTGCTGCGTTCTGCTACAAGAGCAGATCTATACTGTAACTGTGGCAGAATTGCATCAAATGACCACAGGGTGGCAGATAGTGACTACAAAGGAAAAGCCTGCCTGTATTACAACCATATATGGCCACTTAGTGGCTGAAGAAAGGTATTCCCTTGATTTCTGTTATTTGGAACTTAGTCTGGATCGTGCTTGCTATTTCACAGATGAGTTTTCTTGCTAGCCCAACTAACTGCTAGAAAACTCATTACTCCTCTGCTACTTTGCAGCAAAGAAAGCTTATAGTAAACTGTGTGACATTGGAATAAAAGTGTGTTGTATTAAAGCAATGCATACTCCTTAAAGCCTTTTAATATGCCTAATATTCAGTTTATAAAGAATATTCAATTTACACGTAGTCTGAATTGCCTAGCATTTTTTAATAATCAGTAGCAACTTTCATGTTACTAACTATGTCAAGATCCAGTATTTACTGTATTGCAAAATTTATTGCTTTACCACTGGCAGGTATAATCTTGTACTGTTCGACTAATACACTATGACCAATGTATATTGTGTTGCAGTCAGCCTTTAAACTTTATTTTCATAATTTGAAATTACCTTCTTCGGGAGCAAACAAAAAAAGGATAACACCATGTGCAACATAATTTCAATCACATTTTTTCATGTCTGACACCAATACACTGAATTTCTGAGACTATTGGTTGCTTCTTCAGCAATGTTTTAAGCTAGGGCTGTATAGATCAGGGTATTTGGAAAACATGAAGGCAAACCTTAACAACAAAAACTGAGTTAAAAATATATCAAGTACTTCAATCTTTCCAATGTCCCTTGTCACTAGATTGGTGCCACCATCCCCTGCAGGAGGAAGTATCTTTTAACAATCTTTTTTTTTTTTCCTTTTAAAAAAAATAAAATTGCAGTATCCTTTAATACTTCTCTTCTTCCAAAATTTGTAAGATAGGCTATTCTTCCGGAATCCACTTTCTGAAGTCTAGCATGCCCTCATTATTTTCATTTCTCATATATTATTTTAGTATAGAGACAAAAAAGAAGACACTGTAGTGTTGCACTTTCTCCTAGACTGATCCCTGTGCTTAAGCTAGCTTATTGTACAGCTGCATGCTTTGCAAAATCAAGTCATTGGGAAAAAAAAAATCTTAAAAAAGCTTAAAACTTAAAAAAAATTAAAACAGAATGCAAAATAATTTAAAAAATACATTACTGGCAGGCTAATGGAAATGAGATAGTCTGCAGTCATTAGTTGTATATGTTCACTACTTTACATGGTAGTCATTATGGCTGTTCAAAAGAGATGAATGAATTTTATTTTATCTATCAAAAATGTATTTGAAAGGCAGCCTAAAATGTCTTGTGAATCCATGTCAGTCCTGAATACTTTCATCTGACGGAAAAGGAAACAATATTTACATAGCATTTGCAATTAAATATAGTGACATTCGTAAAATATAAACACCAAATGTAAACTAAAAGGTTTATTTCACAGATTATTATCTTTATTTTTTCCGGTGTTTAAAGTTAGTTTTCATTCAGGTCTGGTTTGATTGCGTTTCAGTTTAATCACCAAACTGAAATAAAGTTTATTTCTCAATTCTGGTGGTAAGGAAAACATACTTTGACATAGAAGCATTAATTACTAGATAAACATGCCATTGCAGATGAATTATATATTAGATACTAAATGTTAGATAAATTACTAGTTCTTCTGAACAAAGTGTCAAGTAGATATGAAAGGGCAATGCAGAAAAAGAGGAGAGTAGCTAAAAATTACTTGTTATCTAAACACATAACACGCAATCATAAAAATAAAGGGTTTTTTTCTCAATTTACAGGAGCACTCTGAGGGAAAAACAAAATATATTTCTATACAAGTAAGTCTGCTTTTTCTATTAATCAACAATACATGTTAGTTTCATAGTAATTTGTGAAAAGTAAATAGTATGAAACAGCCTTTAGTTCAGTATGTGTTCAATGTCCTGTGCTTTATGGGATCCTTATTTATGAATTTCATGAATGTGTCAAACTGCTAAATCATGACAACATATGACATTCATTATACATTCAGAGGCAGAACTTTATTACTATTCTGTATTTTGAAAAATCTTAAATTTTATATTATATTGCTTACTCTCTCCCTCAAATATTTGGATTAGAATTTGAAGTTACACATCAGTGACAGCAGAGAAAGGAGACACAGAGAAAACACCTCATAGGAATGAAATTTTGTTTATGAAAAACAAAAAGACCACAAAAGCCCTTTGGGATCTTTTGGGATGAAGGCTGTCCTCCAGATATACTGCATCTCTTTCTAATCAGTGCAGCTTGCACATCCCAACTCTATCTTGAAGGTATCCAAGAGCAAGCAAGTTTCAGTTAATTGTAGTAACACTAAGTATTGCAGTCTTGAACTTACTTTACACGGTTGGCTGCAATCATAGAATCATAGAATCACAGAATATCTTGGGTTGGAAGGGACCTTTAAGATGACCCAGTCCAACCCCCTTGCCATGAGCAGGGACAACTCCCACTAGACCAGGTTGCCCAAAGCCCTGTCCAACCTGGCCTTGAACACTTCCAGGGAGGGGGCATCCACAGCTTCTCTGGGCAACCTTTTCCAGTGCTTCACCACCCTCACAGTAAAGAATTTCTTACTAATACCTAAATCTAGTCTTATCCAGTTTAAAACCATTCCCTCTCATTCTATCTCTACCTGCCCTTGTAAAAAGTCCCTCCTCGGCTTTTCTATAGGACCCCTTCAGGAACTGGAAGGCTGCAATAAGGTCCCCCCAGGGCCTTCTCTTCTCCAGGCTGAACAACCTCAACTCTCTCAGTACGGTCCCTCGTAGGGGAGGTGCTCCAGCCCTCTGATCAGCTTCGTGGCCCTCCTCTGGACCCACTCTACAGCTCCATGTCCTTCTTATATTGGAGAATCCAGAACCGGATGCAATACTCCAGGAGGGGTCTCACCAGAGCAGAGTAGAGGGGCAGAATCACCTCCCTCACCCTGCTCACCACACTTCTTTTGATGCAGCCCAGGATGAGGTTGGCCGCCTGGGCTGCAAACACACATTGCCGGCTCATGTTGAGTTTCTCATAGACTGACACCCCCAAGTCCTTCTCCTCAGAACTGCTCTCTAGCCATTCTCAGCTCAGCCTATATTTGTGCTTGGGATTGCCCCTACCCAGACACAGGACCTTGCACTTGGCCTTGTTGAACTTCATGAGGTTGGCATGGGCCCACCTCTCTAGCGTGTGCAGGTCCCTCTGCATGGCATCCCTTCCTTCCAGCATATCAACTGCACCACCCAGCTTAGTGTCATCCGCAAACTTGCATCCATGTTTCTCCAGTTTTGTGACCAGTATGCCATGCGGGACAGCGTTGAATGATTTGCACAAGTCCATGTAGATGAAGTCAGTTGCTCTTCCCTTATCCACTAAAGCTGTAACTCCATCATAAAAGGTCACCAAATTGGTGAGGCACATTATGTGGAAAGTTATGCTTTCTCTGAAAAACCATAATGAAAAGACTGAGGAAGGCGAGGTGCATGCAGACAGTTTATTCCTCAAATCACTCAATTCTAGCAGTGTTGAAATGAGACTATTCATTTTTCTGCCTCTGTCAATGTGCCAAGGGAAACTGTTAATAGATCAGGCTACATTGTAAGAAATTATAGGATATAGTTTAAAAGATGAAAAAAGTTGTAAACATAGAAGTTTACTGAGGGACAGGTAATTAGTTAAAGGAGATACACAGATACATACATATTATATACATAATAAACATGCATGTGCTTATTTTTTGCTTTGTAACAGCAGTCTACTTTAACAAGCAATGCTCTCCTATGCTTCTAAAAGCTTCACTGGTAGATGGCACTTGCATATTATCAACACCTAGACATACAACAATGAAGAACAACACAGTCTTGCTTTGTTTTTAGGAAGGAGGGAAAAGTCATGCATTTCAAAGATCCAATATGAGAAAGAAATACCTCTTGAAAATGAGAACAGCTGGTAGTGCCTGCCTTGTGAGCCCAGACTGGGGGGACTGGAGTGCACCCATTGAGTTTGGTAAGAAGTTTGGTTTAGCTTGGGCTACTCTTCCTCCAGCGACGTCCTGGCTACCTCAGACACTGCTGCGCATCTACACAAATATATAAAGGCTTGGCAAACATTTTGTTTCACTCCACATTACTGAGAAGAAAAGGAGGAAGAGAATTCCTATGTATCTTAACACTCCAACATTGGAAATCAATACAAAAAGTTACATGTTTGCAACTGAAGTGCGTACCTGCTTACTGCAGGGGATGGACAAACAGCTCAATGTCAATCCTTCCCAATAAACATTACTGCTAAGGTGCTAAATTAAAGAGATGATCTTTATAGTGAGTAAAAAATTTCAGTCTGCATTCATCAGTCAGTCACCAAAGTAGATGTTTGGCACAGCCGTGCATCTATTCCTCTTTATTAACAATAATATTTTATGACTGTTTCTCATTCAGGAAATGACGAAATTATTTCTTCTTCAGTATGGATTTTACTTGTGATAGCAGCTGCAACACTCTTAGTGGCAATCATCACAATTTTGTTCTGCAAAAGGTAAACTTAATTTATGCATTCATTTTCTTTTAGGCAATGTGTGAAACATCTGCAGTTCTTAAGCAAATAAGGTAGAGGTGTCTTTGTAGTATAGACAAAACTTTTCTGCTCACACTGTAGTAGAAATCAATGCAAATGAATGATCCTGAGACAGGTACTAGAAAGGTGATACCTGAACTCCCCAGCTGATCTGCACCGCTTTTTCCGTGCCCTCTTCTGTCAACATGGTAAGGAGAGTAATTATATTCAACTACATATATTAACAGTACAACTGTTCTGAATATTTGCAAGGTATATTGTCTACACAGTAGGGTTTATGATCTCTTGAACTGCTGAATTTATTGCAAACACACGGGTTGATTGTACCTACCAGCAACGATTTTGCAATGGTCCCTAGATTTGTCCTAGCAAACTGAATGCATCTGAAAACACATAAGCAAAGCAGTTTGCTTCTTGAAATAAATGGTGTAGGTGGAACAGAAAGAAGGAGGGCATCCTGCTGTATCATGCACTTTGTATAGAATTATACAGTGATTCAGAGGTTACTGTTCTTCCAACTTATTAAAAAGATTACACCCACTTTTCACTGGTTGTAGTGACTTAAAGAGCAGGGCAACTTCATTTTCCTTTCAAAGGAGAAAATAACTACTAGCAAATCTTTAACCAGAAAAAGAAAATATTGGCATCCAAATTTTTAGTGTTTTCCTGATACATGTTCATTCTGTGATGAGATTATGCATATTTTTCATTTCTCTTCTATCCAGGAAGCAGAAGATAAGAGCTGGTTCAAGGGTGCAATGGTGTTGACACGTGATGTTTACTTAACTTCTCTATGTCACCCTTTTTGATCTCCAGGACTGGCTGCTGGAAAGCAGCACTTCCACAAATCCCAGAGCCAAAAAATACATTTCGTGGACTACTTGATACAAATCCAGAGGTATGTTTTATTTTTATCTTATATTAAATGTGTGAAATGTGACTCCACTACAGGTATATTTTAAATTATAAGGAAAGTAATACAGAAAATAACTCCTCTTTTTGCCATATTTTGAGGAATTACCAGAGAAAATCAGCAGAAAAGTTTGTTAAGGGTAGTCACATGCAGTGCTCTTCCAGAACCATGGAGTTTCTCTTGTTGCGGTCTTACAGGTGCAGGGGCTGATGCTCCCATTGATAGGTTCAGACAGCAGCAAGGGCTGCGTGTTTTCCCAACATGAGGCACACACATATGCAGCCACATAAACAGAGGACACTAATGCAGCCAGCCATGAAGACCAGCATAGGTGCCTTTACCAGCATCATGTCAACACCAACAGCAGCAACATAAATAGGGTCACAGACATCCCAGTCCTCCTGTTCCTCCCCAGCTGAACAGGGCTGAACTTTGCCAGTGAGATGTGCATGCACCCACACTTTCTTCATTCACAACGACCATAAATTCTAATTTTCCTCACATCTGATCTCTGATTATGGATTCTGGGTCCCCCTGCCACATCAGCAACTATTACCTTTGGGCTTTCCAGGTGAGGGTCTCTCCAGGTGCAGTTCTTCCCTACTCACCCACTAGTCCAGCTTCAAGGAAGTTCGTTAGCAAGTCAGACACACAGGACAGAAAGAAAGGTGACATGGAAAACGGGTCAAAACAGGATTTTTTAAGGCAATAGGATAGTCACAGCATTTGACCAGATCAGCATACCAACCAGCAGCGGAAGTGCGCACTTTTCTTGTCTAGCAGTTTCTCATGTTCTCTTCAGTTAGATAAACTTCAGGTTAATGTGTGCTCATCTACTTTCACACCTTAGAGAAGTTTATGCTTTTGTGTTAATTTACTTGAGATGATCTGTGGTAATCCGGGCGGTACAATGGAGAAAAGCACACATACTCCCTCACCAAATCCAGGCCAGTCAAAAAAATGTCAACATTACAAAGTTGCTGAAATTTCACTGTTATGCCCAGATGCTTATCAGCTAAGAAACAATGAAGTTAAATGTTTCTATAAAAAAACGAAAAAACAAGTTGAAATGCTCTCAGAATTGTTCATAAGTAAGCAGAGGGTAACGTAACCTTATGTATAAAACTAAAAGAAATTTTTATTTTCCTTCCAGCTGATGGAGAGCAAAATTCAATCACTAACATCTGAAAATGAAGATATAATATTAGTTGCTGATGTAGTGAAATAACCAAGAACAAATTAGTTATGTGAAAGTGCATTTCTTAGCTTGGACAACTGTATATTCCTGTGGAAAGTCTGGAATAATATACAGGCTTTCTTCACTTTCTTCACTTCCTTGGCGAAAACAGTAGTGCAGACAAGAGAGTACGATACCTCACGTAATATTTTTTTTTAAATGTCAATGTATTTGCTTTTAATTTTGGCTAACTTCAACTTTTTGGGTAACTTTTCCTTATTGGGTATCTTCCATTTTAAGAATATGACTGAAATATTTCAGTGAGGATGTTTTAATTGCATTTTAATATGTTTAAGGAAAAATAATGGATTTGTCTCATATTAAAAAGAATAAGATGAAATTTATTGAGATTAATAAATTTAAAAAAAAAAATTCTGGTGCCTAAATGCCATGGTTCTGCTTTCAAGAATGGGCCTATTCATACTTGAAGTTTCCTCAGATCTTTTAAAGTATACATGGGTATCTAAAAATATTGAGAACAGTATTGAAAACAGGCTGGGACATTGAGTCATGGCCTGTAATCAACAGGAATGTCAAAGGACAGGAGTCCCTGACTAATCCTAGAGCTTCAGTGTGTTACTTACAAATTAAGAGATCAGCCACCATTAACTTGATATCAGCCCAGAATTAACTTCTGTAGGTATCTGGCTCTTCGTGTTCTTACTTCATGTTCTTCTTACTACTTTCCTTCCTCTTTAACTTCTTAGTATTTTAAAATACTGATGCATGACTCAGTTAATCTCTGTGTCTTTTTGTGCAGACAGAGGCCTTCACAATTCTGCTGGACAATAATTTTTCAGAGCCATAGGATTAGGAAAAGGTATTGGGAAAACAGCCTAGGCTGTTGTTGAATACAGTGATTGGTTATGAGCGATGCTCCTCAAGGATCAATGTTGAGACTTGTAGTGTTTAGTACTAGCAGAAACTTGGACAACAGGATGAAATACAGCCCTAGGGAGACTGCAGATGACAGCAAACTGAGGACACTGCCTGACATACTAGAGGGCAGGTCTGCTATTCAGACAGGCTGAAGAAATGGATTGATAGAAACTTCCTGAAGCAAATGCAAAGCCAAATACCTGAGAAAAACTAGATGCATATATCCTAGATGATATGATGGACAGGTGGGTCTGCAGAAAAGACTCTGAGGTCCTGGTGGGCAACAAACTGAACACAAATCAGAAGTGCTTCCTTATGGTAATGAAAACTATCCACAAACTAGGCTATAATGGGAGGAGTGGACCCAGCAGTTCAGTGGAAGTGATTACTCCCTCTACTCAGCACTCATGAGTCTGTACATGCAGTTCCATGTCCAGATTTCAGCTACCTAGTACAAGAAAGGCATTGACAAACAGGGTAAGTTCAGTAGCAGGGCACCAAGATGATTATGGGGATCTGAAGAAACTGGGATTTTTCAGACTGGAGAATGGAAGATAAGGGGATCTACTGCTGTCTTACACTGTGTGTAGAGAAGATGGAACAAACTTATCTGGGAGTTGCACAGTCTGAGGATGAGATGGAACAGTCAAAAGTTGTTGCAGCAAGAGAAAGTCCAATTTCATATAAGGAAAAATAATTATTTACACATGAGAGTAGTTGGATGGAATGAGTGTCCAGACAGGCTGTGAAATTTCCATCCTTGGATATATTCAAAATACAATTTTTTAGCATCTCATCTGCCAGTTTATCATGCAGCCACTCACTATTGTCAGGTTATTAAACTTTCTCATCTTTGGAATCTATTATCCCAAACTACTTGCAACTATCTATACATGTCAGGATCTTCCTCTTATCTCAGGGAAGCTTAAACTTTTCTCCTGTAACAATGCAATGATGATTTTTTTTATTTTCAAAGTGCCTTTGACTGACACTTCACGTTAAGTGTGACCTTCCTCTTGAAGAACATTTTCGGCACTACAAGATCCTCAAGGACATCTGTACCACCATACACTCACTGATATTTTCTGATGTCACTAATTTCCTTTAACAAATCTTTTAGTATACCTTAATCATCTATTTGCTTAATTGTTTCTGATAAGAATCCTTTTGTTGAGAAATGATATATTGTTAGGGGTCTTTTATTTCTTTCAGAGGTTTTTCCATTAAAACTTTTTTTGGCTTGACTTATTGTGCTCTTGCATTTATCCTGTCAGCATTCACATGTTTTCCTGTTTTCCTTCTGTGGATAGGGTTCCAAATTTTTGACAAATGCCTTTTTATTCTGTGCAGCTTCCCTTACCATTTCAATATGCTAAACCAAGATCAATGAATTTTTCTTTTTAAAGAGGCAAAACCCCCTACTATTTCATCTGTTTCTATTATGAATGGGACCTAAAGAATATATTCGGATGTTTGATATAACTGTGTGGGAAGACACCAGAGTGGATATAGACATGTCTTTATCTCATACTGCCATAGTGGTGCCACATGTGAAGGCTTTGTAGAAGCAAAGAATATTAGGTAATATTTCTACAGTACAGAAGTATTATTGATACTTGGCAAAAATCTAATTTCTGCATCCCTTATGAAGTGCAGCAATAGGCAGATAATGTTAGCCCTCATAAGAGCTAAGTAGTCAGTAGAGACCATGAAGTCAGCACAGAAGACAAGAGGCAAATACTCTCACCTCCTAGGGTGTCTCCTGATACCCTTGACAGAGATCAGCAGCATAGCAACAAACTCAATTTTACTGGTATAATTTGATTTCTGGGCTCCTTTCTTCGGGAAAGAAGCATATTCCAGCAAAGAACTCGGAATTTGAGTAGGTAATAGAAGAGCACAGACAGAACTTCCACCTTCTGTTAAAGTCTAATTCTATACAAAACTCAGCCTTGACCTGGAGTTATACCAAAAGAGTCTTAGCATCTGACTCCCTAGTTGGGATGGTTGGTCAGTGAACCAACCATTTGTTCCTGTCTGAAGATGTAATGTTGGAAGCCCACCATGACTTCTAAGGCAGTTTTAACACTCAAAATGAAAATGTCCAGCAATTGCTTCCTTAACATAATTAGCCTTTGCGAACTTTTGTTCACAAGAAAAATAACTTTATCCTCTGAGTAGCCCCATTAATTTTGACAACTCGTGTATCTTGCTTGATTTTGAGGATCTCACAATTGTTCTTCATAACTGGGTGTGGAATCATTGACACATCAGGACAACCAAGTGATCAGGCCGAGTCAGCATGGGTTCAGGAAGGACAGGTCCTGCTTGACTAATCTTATCTCCTTTTATGTTGAGGTGACCTGCTTGGCAGATGAGGGGAAGGCTGTGGACGTTGTCTACCTGGACTTTAATAAGGCCTCTCACATTGTCTCCCACAGCATCCTCCTGGAGAAGCTGGCTGGGCATGACTTGGATGGGCATACGCTTTGCTGGGTTAAAAACTATCTGGATGGCCGAGCACAGAGAGTTGTGGTGAATGGAGCTAAACCCAGTTGGCGACCAGCCACAAGCGGTGTTTCCCAGGGCTCAGTTTTGAGGCCAGTCCTGTTTAACATCTTCATCAATTTTCTGGATGAGGGGACTGAGTGACCCCTCAGCAAGTTTGCAGATGACACTAAGTTGGGAGAGAGTGTTGATCTGCCTGAGGGTAGGAAGGCTCTGCAGAGGGACCTGGCTAGGCTGAATCAATGGGTTGAGGCCAACTGTATGATGTTCAACAAGGCCAAGGGCCAGGTCCTGCACTTTGGTAGCAATAACCCCATGCAGCACTACAGGTGTGGGGATGAGTTGCTGGAAAGCTGCCATGCAGAAAAGGACCTGAGGGTATTGGTGGACAGCAGGATGACCATGAGCCAGCAGTGTGCCCTTGCGGCCAAGAAGGCCAATGGCATCCTGGAGTGTATCAGAAGGGGTGTGGTTGTAGGTCGAGAAAGGTTCTCCTTCCCCTCTACTCTGCCCTGGTGAGACCGCATCTGAAATATTGTGTTCATTTCTGGGCCTCTCAGTTCAAGAAGGACAGGGAATTGCTTGAAAGAGTCCAGTGCAGAGCCACAAAGTTGATGGAGGAAGTGGAGCATGTCCCTTAACAGGAGCGGCTGAGAGAGCTGGATCTCTTTAGCTTGGAGAAGAGGAGACTGTTTATAAACATTCATGTTTATAAATTTGTAAAGGACGAGTGTCAGGAGGAAGGAGCCAATCTCTTCTCAGTGATGTTCAGTGAAAGGACAAAAGGCAATGGTAGCAAGCTGGTGCATAGGGGGTTCCATATGAAGGAAAAACTTTTTTACTGTGAGGGTGACAGAGCACTGGACCAGGCTGCCCAGAGAGGTTATGGAGTCTCCTTCTCTGGAGACATTCAGAACCCACTTGGGCGTGTTCCTGTGTGACCTAGTCTAGGTGATTCTGCTCTGGCAGGGGGGTTGGACTAGATGATCTTCCAACTCCTAATATTCTGTGATTCTGTGTGATGAGGTTTATGCTTTGGTGTAAAATTTCTTTTCACTTTGATACTCAAAGGCTCAGATTTCTATACAGGTCATTTGAACACAGATATTTGATTATTAGACTACTTTTGTAATGATCCTGGACATTTGTTTATTAGACTAAATACTCTACTAAACTAAATAGTTTAGTAGACTAAAGACTACTTTCTTGTATTGAGGCCAATCGCCATGTAAGAGCCCAGATATCTTTTATTAAACATCTGAATAAGGTGGACACATGGAAACTTCCTTTAGAAATTAGCCCTGACCTAAGCTAACCTCTGGACTATGTCCAGGAGTTTTTCAGGACATTGCTTGCAAATCCTGGCCAAATCAGTGCTGGGAACAGTTGTTCCTGGACACATTCCAGCACTGGGGAGTCTTCCAGTTACATGTGGAGCCAGAAGTGATCCCCGACACTGTCCAATTTCTACCGTAGCTGGATCTAAACTGCTCTTGGCACACCTACTGCCTTTGACAAAGTTAATGATTGACTTTTGGTCAAAGACTCCTCTGGGAAGCTTTTTACAGCAGATCAGAACAACAAGGCCAATTTCTTAATGAGGC